AAGTACACATCAAACACATGGACTGACTTTACATTTTCTTCTCACGAAGTGCATGATGGAAAAACAGAAAAGCAGTTTTAAATGCAATTGTATCAGGTTTTTCAATTGATGGACAGCTGTACATGAAGGCTGGTTTATAATCATATTTAACCCTTCTTGCACTTTATAGGGCAGGTGTGATTTTGCTCCATATAGTCACTGTCACTAAAAAGACTTCTCGGTCTGTAACCATATCAATAGTATCCACAGTTCCTGTATTGGGCTGTTAGTTAAATACCTAAGCCCTTCAGTAACACATTTATAGCTAGAGATGCTCACAATAATTAAAACCATAACAATACAATAAAACAAATCCCAATGCCACAGCCAAATAAGGGCTGCAACAGGCTTCCTCCTTGTCCAGATTTCACAGTACGGCAAAGATCCTTTGAAACTTCATATCACCACCCTCTGCAAAAGCCCATCAAATAAGTACTGTCCTGGCCACCATCCAGTAGCCTTTCTGCACAACAGGGAGTCTCTTTCCTTCAGAGAAGGCAAGCCTGCAGCTGTTACTGCCGAGTGAAACCCTAAAGCCCCCCATTTAAAAGGCCCGGGACAGCTGCTGCAGCTGTTGCAGTCACAAACATTTGGTGATATGCTCCAAGATGCAAATGTAACTGGAGCTGCCTGCTAAAGATCAGCAGACGTTTTACCTTGGAGGGTTCTTCCCGCAGAGCTCCAAATCGGCTTTTTGGTGCCCGGTGAAGGCTAGAGGGTGTTCCAAAGGGCTCAACTGGTACATGGACCATAGTACTCAAGGGATACCGGAGGTCTGGAGTACTTCCTACAAGGGACCTATGGAAAAACAGCCATGAAGCAAGATGTTGCACTTTTCTAAGGTAGATTAACTTCAACAAATAATTCAAATGTGTAATTTAAAATCTCTTTCTTAAGGGCCAACATTCCTCAATTTAATTACATTTTAATATGTTTTTATCTGTCCATTTTTACTCAAGATCCTAAAGTTAGGGGTACTCCCAGTAGCTGAAACATAACACACATTGAATGTAATACAATATCATCTACCCAAATGGTCTGAAAAGCATTCAAAACATTAAGATAATCACAAAAACAAGAATACCTTTTACATAGGACTGACACAGTCAAAAGCTACTCTCAGGAAGAGATGAGGAACACAGAAACCAACAAGCCTTTGGGGGTGTGAGAAAAACAGTGAGCATGCATGTATCCTTTCACATGCTGATTCATCACTTGGTACCAAGGAAGAATAATTCAAACTGGGTGAGGCAGGGGGAACAGTCCTGCTCACCATAGCTTTATCCCATGGTACAAGTAAGCCTTTGAAGTAATTCCCAGAAATCATCAAGATTTCTATAAACCTTTTAAAAATCAGCATAAACCTTTAAAAACCTATAAACCTTTTAAAAATCAGCAGTAGATATGTTGCTATAGTGTCCTACTGACTGAGAGCAAAACAGTGAACTGCCCTCAAGTGGAAATAGTCCACAGATCTGACGGCATGCGCAGAACGTCTGAATAATAATGATATCAGGATGCTGTATCTGAGCTATATACAGTGGCTTTTATTTACAGTTATTTACACAGTCCTTTCCACCATGCGGTATCCCAGGTTCATAGAACTGACCGACAAGGTGCTTCGCAATACACTCTTCCACTGGTGTGGAACACTTGCCTCTGGACTACATTGCATATATACAGTACTTGCACCAATCAGAGTCATTTTGCCAACTCATGGTGACATAGTTAATTAGCTGATGCAACCTAGTGCAACTTGCATCTGGTGACCCTGTCACATGACAGTCTTACCTGTCACCCAGATCAGTTTAATCTGACATGTGTGCATCATTGGCTGTCATCTTGCATACATATAATACAATATGCCAACACGCCTTTTCCTCCGTTCCCAAATAATACCAGGCAAAGTAAACTGTTCTGTTCAACCAGAGGAAACGCAATGCAAATGGGTGCTACATGAATGTTTTCCAGGGCTGAAAAGAGCAATCTAGAAATTTAAGCTGGGGTGCCAATCATAAGCTCCCTGAACAGATCATTTGTGGATCCTTTTTTCCAGCTAAGGGAAACATGCACAGCATCCATTTCCACTACTTATCCAATATGATTGAGATCAATATATTATGTTAACTAATCAAATGCTTAATTCCTTCCATGATAGTTGCCTTAGAGCAGTGTGTAGACTGGGAACCCATACTGAGGGCGTGTGGTACCTTGCTGAAACTAAGCAGGTCTAGCTCTGGCCAAGGCCTCGAAGACCTCCTAGAAACAACAGGCATCCCACTTTGTTTCATTATGAAAGACATGCAGGACAGAAATAAAATAAATAATTTATAATCAGAACCACAGACAATAGAATCTGGTATTAAATTATTTTAAAATAAGGAAGAAAGTGCTAAATACAGCTTTATGAGTGCACATGAAACATTTTAAAATGTTTAAAATTCAAAATCATATTTAAATCATATCTGCCCAGTTCCGTATATGCCACAATAAGTTTATGTACAGGCCGTCAAGCCATCTCTCATCACATTGGCTGAGATGGAGGCCCATTTCAGTCTGGCAAGAAGGAGATCAAAGGGAAAGTAACAGCTGAGATCCCCAGTGGGTGCAGAACTTTCCAGTCCTACCAACTGGCTATTCGATGTTGTAGAGCACACACACACACACACACACACACACATATATATAAATCTTTGCCTATGCACAAGGAAGTCCTTCCTTATACAAAGCAGGAGGTTTAACCAATAGTCATCAGTTCCACCTACCCATGCAAAAGTTCCAGTGCTCCAAAAACAGGCAACCTTTGATCTATAACATTACTCTATATGGAAAGCTCTTCTAGATTGCAAATGCTGCTAGTGAAATATTAAAACTGTCCCTTAAAGAAATTTGTGCCAGATATTTACATAATAATGCTTGAACAACCTTCACAAAGGGTGTTGTACATCCTGCTGTGTGCCTGATGAAAAAATCTATTGACCTCTCAGCGTCTGGTGACTATTCCAAACAAAAAACTCGCCTCAGCCCTGCAAGTTCAATTGTGTCAGCTCATGGATAAGGTGGCAACAATCGGCTATGTAGTGAACTCAGTTTCTTTTTATGGTTGTACCATGAAGCCTTAGTTTTGTTCCAATAAACAACTCACTCTGATCAGATCATACTAAGAGATGTTTGGGGACAGTATTTGTCTCCTTGTTTCAGAATAACATGAGAAAGAAAAAGTTGCCTTGCCAGTGAATTTCTGGCAATAGGTATACGTTTCCACCTACTGTGCTTCCTCAAGACAGAAGAGTCAACAATTGCACCTGTCTAAAGATGGCAATTTTCTCCCACACATTCAACACTTTTTGAAGTTGGTCCACTGCACCATACAAGAACAGGATGGACAAAAGGATAGAAACTAGCTGTCTGAGCAGTGTCAGACAGAATTTTCAAAATTCTCACTAGCTTACAGAAAGTTCTCTGAGGAGAATGCTGCCAATCAAAGCTGCAGCAATGGCAAACAAAAGAGAACCAAGCAGGAAGCTGCAATTCTTCCTCCTTGAGCATGCACAGTGAAGCACAGGCTCAGAAACAGGGATGGTTTCGTACTTAACAGTAGCTGAACAGGGCAGAGCTTTTTACCCCAGGAAGGAATCCTTTCCTAATATGTAAAATAGATAGTGGGACAAACAACTGTAAGCGGGACTGCCACCTCCTCTGCTCCACTGATGGTGATATGGAGGCAAAATGGCATAGATGATGATATGTTTGGCAACTGTCCTCTCATTGTTCTTTGGTTCTAATTTCTATTGATCTCAAGAAAATATAGATGTTCTAATGATATATTAACACACTGAAACATGTTCACTGTGTCAGTATGCCTCCTATTAGTAAAAACAAAGATCAAACAGACTACATAATTGGATTCATGTCTTTCCTCTGAAGACTCCAATTTCATATGCAAGAGCCTTGGACTACGGAGATCATTGGTAAGGCCCAGTATGGCAGTTGCACTTCACTTTAACCTTCAACTGTCTCTTCTGACCATCATCCTTTGTACAGGCTTCATAAATAAGTGCAACACCCTGTATGTGCTGAAGCAGTAACTGCCACTAAGGCTGATAAAAAAAATGGACCTGCAAGAAAGTGCATGTGAAAGTAAGTATATGACTATCTCTGGCCAGATGCTGCACAGATTCATTTAACCTGTAATCATAATTTAGGCATGTGATCTCTTTATGGACCATTCTGACCCAGTTTCTGTGATAGATGTTGACAATATCCTGGGATCGCTGAAGGCCACGACCTGCGCACTGGATCCATGCCCACCCTGGCTGCTAACATTATGTAAGGACCACCTCATAAATCAGTCACTAATTCAGGGAAACTTTCCTCAGCCATGCAAAAATGCAGCTATCCATCCACTACTTAAAAAAAAATCCCTACAGAAAAATGATCCAGACAATTACTGCTCAGTTGCCGATTGAGAGAGCAATAGTGGACCACTCCAGGTCTTCTTGGATAACTCATCTGTTCTGGGCCCTTTTCAATCTGGGCTATGGGACAGATGGTTACTGCATTTAGTTAATGGTCTCTGTCTGAATGTAGACAAAGACCTTGCCTCTTTGTGACTCCTACTGGATTTATCTGCAGCCTTTGATACAGTGGGCCACGCCATCTCGTTGAGATATTTGGAGAAAGAAAATATGCATTGGACTGGTTCAAATCATTCCTCATGAACCAGACTCAAAGAGTTGCTGTTGGAAACAAATTATCACTGTGCAACCTATTGGGGGGGGGGGTCTTTTGAGCAGTTTCAGTTGATCCTTGCTGACTCAGTAAAGAGCCTCAGGGTTATACTGGATCCACATGACTTCTGGAGAAGCAAATTAATGCAGCTGCAAAAAAAATGTGTTCTTCCAGCTAAGACTAACCCAAAAGTTGCCCCCTCCCCACCTTGAAACAGCTGAACTGGCTACCTGGATCCACGTCATGGTAACACAGAGACTAGACTACTTTAATGCACTCTATATAGGTCTCCTCTCAAAGTAAACTGGAGACTCAAGGTCAGTTGCGGTTCCAGGTCGTATTCGGGATGGGGAGGCTTGGCCAGCCTTACACTGCCCCATTCAAAATGACCACTCACACATGGTTTCTTTGGAAATTAGGTGGATAAAATTTGCCATAACTTTATTGATTACAGCTGTTATAGGCATTGACACAGCATGGGTCCACCGGATCCGACCCGTCGGCTGACACTTCTGCCAGCCGAGGTTATCCGTTACCTAGCCAGCCGGCATGGGTGGAGCCTGCAGGATGGCAGGTTGTTGGGGTTCACCTGGACGCCTGCCCCTGTGTGAACTCCACTGCCAGCTGGCGGTGAGGGCCATCGCTGTTAGTCTCTGCGCTTGCCTGTTCCTTTCAGCCCTCATGCCAAGACCCTTACAGAAGTCCCCACATCCGGAAAATGGCACGCGGGCCGCTTTCCGCCAAACGGATCCGGCCCCATGCTGTCACCGCCACTAGAGCTGGACCAACCGCTTGGTCCTGCTCCTGCCAACGCCTCTATAGCTGTAGCCAAGAGAGCAGCTAAGACTAACCCAAAAGTTGCCCCCTCCCCACCTTGAAACAGCTGAACTGGCTACCTGGATCCACGTCATGGTAACACAGAGACTAGACTACTTTAATGCACTCTATATAGGTCTCCTCTCAAAGTAACCTGGAGACTCAAGGTCAGTTATTATCAGGAGCTAGACAGAGCATGCATATCATTCCCATTCTGCAGCCATTCCACTGGCTGCCCAACAATTACCCGGCTCAGTTCAAGATATTGGCTATCACATACAAAGCTCTTCATGCCTTTCATAACTTTCCCCCTATGCTCCACCATGACAGCCTCGCTCATCTGAGCAGGGTCTTCTGCCGGTGCCATCCTACAAATGTGGGTAAAATCAATAAATACAAGTTGTGGGGCCCCCTTCTGGAATGGCCTGCCTGAATTCCCATTCTCATAAGAACAGCCTGCCAGTGATCCATCTAGTCCAGCATCCTGTTTCATACAGTGGCCACCCAGTTGCCCTGGCTGTGTAAAATTGAATTACTCAGAAGTGCTTCTGTACACAGATAATACTGTAACAAAATGGTTTTAAAATGTTTTGATAAAGGGACAGGGATTGTGGGCTATACTACTGTGTATAGTACGTACTGTCTATTGCTTTAAGTATGATCATATTATGTAATTTCTGCATCTAACATGTTTCAGATTTGTGCAGTCCAAATCCTACTGCATTGCTTATTGGGTGTCCCATCCTGTTGATTGTCTGTACTTAACACTGCATAATCTGCCTTTACTCTTGGTGAGAACAGAGGACTGCAAATGACATAAATTAAAAATAAATAAAGCAGACAGATACAAAATGAAACCATACACCACAGCAATGTTGCATGTGTGCAAAGAGGCCTTCTGGTGTTCTGAAGTTCATTAGAAGCCATCCCTCCTGTCCATTAGTCAGGCTGCAACACAATGGACAGCTGCAGGGTTGCAAAAGTTTGCCTCTGTTCTGCAGGCATGCATGTTATGTAGTTGTGCCCTCTACTGGATCACTCAGAAATAGCAGTCAGCCAGATTTTTTTAACTCCCACTAAATGTTATTAGGCCAGTTCAGTGATTTTGTAGATAACAAAAGGAATTAAAAGAAACATTCTATGTTATTTGTACTTTTTTCTCCTGTAATAGAAGTCATATTTCTGAAAACTATCTGTCCATGTCTACATATTAGCAAAGTAGGTCCCCTGTATGTGGATATCTGGGGACCACAAACGGGGTATTCTCTAACATTGTTGCAGAAAAATGTTGGCTTCCTGAAGCTCCCCCAAACTGGCTCTGGTTAAAGAAGTGAAACATTTCCCTCTTTCAGGGAAGAATATTCTCAGCAGCAGAGGACAGTGTATGGGTGCCAGCCCCTGATCAGGGACAGCGGTGTGTGAGTTTGTGTTAAGTACTGTCAAGTTGCTTCCAAATTATGGCAACCCTATGAATTAATGACCTCCATAATGTCCTGTCGTTAACATAATGTCTTATTGTTGCTTAAGTCTTGCAAAATGAGGGCTGTGGCTCCCTTGACTGAGTCAATCCATCTCATGTTGGGTCTTTTCCTGCTGCCTTCACCTTTTCTCAGCATTACTGTCTTTTCCAGAGACTCTTGTCTTCTCATAATGTAACCAAAGTACGATAGCCTTAATTTAGTCATTTTAGCTTTTAGGGAGAGTTCTGGCTTGATTTGATCTTAAACCCACATTTCTTCACTGTCAGCCTTAAAATTTTATAATTTCCCAGTAATTACTTTCGTTTTGTTGATGTTTAGCTGTAATCCTGCTTTGACACTTTCTGCTTTAGCTTTCAGCAGTAGTTGTTTCAAGTCTTCACTACTTTCTGCCAGTAATGTGGAGTAATTCGTATATCTCAAATTCTTAATGTTCCTTCCACCAGTTTTCCCTTCACTGTCATCTAAATCTAATCCAGTTTTCCGTATGATATATTCTGCATATAGATTGAAGAGATATGGAGATAAAATACATCCTTGCCTGAATCTCTGCCATCTGGAAACCATTCTATTTCTCCCTATTCTGTCCTAACTGTAGCCTCTTGTACACAGTACAGGTTGTACATCAAAACAATCAGATACTGTTTTATTTTAAAACCAACTATAGCTTTTCATAATCCACACAGTTAAAAGCTTTGCTGTAATCTATGAAACACAAGCAGATTTTCTTCTGAAATTATCTTGTATGTGCCAGTAACCAACATAAAATTGCTATATGATCTCTACTGCCTCTTCCTTTTCTGAATCCAGCTTGAATAGCTAGCATTTCCCATTCCATATATGGTAACATTCTTTGTTGTGAGATTCTGAATTTCACTTTACTTGCATGACAAATTAATGCAATGGTCCAATAGTTGCTGCAGTCTTTGACATCTTTTTCGGAACTGGTGTGTAGATTGTTTCCAATTTGTGGGCCATTGTTTTGTTTTCCATATTTGTTGGCCTACTCTTGTTAAGATTTTGATGGACTCTGCTTCTTGGCTTGGAATAGCTCTTTTGATATCCCATCTACTCCTGTCAATTTGTTTCTCCCAACTGCTCTCAGTGCAGCTTTCATTTCACTTTCTAAAACTGTAGGTTCTTCTTCAAGTTCCTTCTTTGAAGAAATCTATCACCCTTTCATCTCTTCTGTATAATTCTTCAGTGTATAGTTCCCATCTTTATTTTGTCCTGTCCAGTCATTGTAGCATATAGCAGAGAGGCAAGTAATTGTGTTAAATCAGGTCATTTCCCTCAGTCACCATAATAGGCAAATCTCTCTCCTTGACAGTTGCCCCTGCGTGAAAGGGAGCTGGGCTCTCTGAAGAGAATGGGGGGAAGAAGTACACAACTCAGAAGCAATGTGCCATCTGTGGAACTGTCTCTGAGCCTTGAGGGAAAAACTGAAGGCAGACTGTGATATTTATATGGGTGTTTTTGCCATGATTTTTTAAAAAAAACTTTTCTAAAATAAATTAAAAATTAAAAATAAAACCTAGCGGAACAAGAGACTACAATGAAGTAGGCTCTGTCAAGATGCAATCAGCTTGTAAACAGAAACAAATCCTGCTCTTCACACGTCATTAAAGTGAACATAATTTATGAGTTCCCCACTTGGATCCAGTCATGATTATCTTTAAACTCCAGGATATAGTAAAGAGAAGAAGCAGCACCTAGTAAAGTAATGCAAGACAACAAGCATGCTAGAAAGAATGCTCTCACATAGGAATGAACACTTGATGGTTCTTTCTGTTTCTTTGTGCAACAACTCAAAGGGATAACATATCATCAAGATGAAAACTCTGGAAATGAAACACAGCCTGAACCACCAGTCCAGAGAGAAAACCCTCCAGCACATCATTTCCTCTTGGGGGCTCTTGACAGGTTAACTTTTGAAGTCCCTGAACATTTTGCTGCACTATGAAAAAGGAACAGAGCATCCTTACCTTGTATGGACATTGTCAAGAAAAGATCCACTTCTTGTCTTTAACTGGTCGATTTCTAATCTTAGTTTATCAATTTCTTCTGACAGCCTTCTCTGTTCAGAATACAAGAAGAAATGGTTTCTTTATAGTCAGTATTACTAATCTTTTTTTCCAGTGAAAACTTCCATAAAAAGCAACTATATCAAACATGCTTAGCACATAAGGGAAGGCACATTTCATGCAGGTAATGGCAGATGATTGTTCTGAAGGCAAAACAGGCGGAAGCAAAAGTATCTGGGGCAAAGAGGCCGACAAAAGAATGAAAAGCAGGCACTTCCTGGTTCCTCTATGTTACATGAAGCAAAAGGAATATAATTTGAGCACTGGATTGCGTTCTTGATATTGCTCAGAGAATTCCTGCAAGCATATCACCGAAGGACAGCAAAGGAGGAAACCACAGCTATAGACTGAATTAACTTCTCCCCTTCCCTATTCAAGGCACAGTCAGATAATCACTGAGGGCGAGCCTCAATTGCAATTTTTCTTAATGATTTTATTCATTATAGAGATAGGGGCATCCACACATTACAGATATGGGATGTAGTATGCTTGCTACTGGAATATAGCTCTCCTGAAGGGGACAAGCTATGTAGCTGCTGGTATTCCCTCCCCTCATACCACTTTTAATACAAAGTATATTGTTTTAAACTTTGGGCAATGTACAGTATTAGAGACTTTCAAAAGAACAATCTGAACTTGGATCTACATTTTTTAAAAATGCTGCAAGATGAGTGCTCATGCTGTTGCTACAAACTGCAACAAAGAACTGAAAACCAAATTGTGTCAAGGAAGCCAGCAGCAGTCTAGAGACAGTCAAGCTGGGAATTTGGCTTCACTCATTAGGGACAAATTAGCAGACAGGAGCAGTACATGCAAACAAGTTACAATTTCTTGCAATCACTGCTGTCATAGACACTATCCAATAGAGCCCGTGACAGGTGGGGAAGGATTAGGGAAGGATCTTATCTGACCCCCAAGAAAATATTGGGGGTTTTGAATACAAAAAAATAATAATCTGTAAAACAAAAGCAGAGCCCCAAAAGGAAAATGAATCTAGAGTTTGTTGTATAAAAATGAGAGCCCATAAACTCTAATCTGGAGAACAGGGTTTCCCCACTCCTCCCCATGAAGCCTGCTGGGTGACCTTGGGCCAGAACTCTCTCAGCACCATCTACCTCACAAGTTGCCTGCTGTGGAGAGAGGAAGGGAAGGAGACTGTAAGCTGCTTTGAGACTCCTGAATGTAGAAAAAAGTGGGGTATAAAAACCTTCTCTTCTTCATCTTCTAAATAGGCTCCTGCCCTTTAGTGGAAGGCCCAGACTACCTGATCTAGTCAGATCTCTGAAGACAAACAGGGTCAGCCCTGGTTAGTTATTACTGGATTTGTGACCACCAAGGAAGTTAGGGTTGCTATACAGAGGCAGGCAATGTCACATCACCTCTGTTAACCTTTTGTCTTGAAAACACTATGGAGTCGCCACAAGTCAGCTATTAACAGCACATTACACACACATAAAATGGCACCCAGTCTTTCCTATTGTTAATTATGGAGTTCTCTAATTGAATATTCATGGTCACTATAGGTAGTCCAATTATATTTTGATATACTAAGTGCTCTGATTCAATGGGAAGTCAACAGAAGCTAGATAAAAGCAGAAATATTATCAACATTGCTTGGCAAACTTTGGCCTTTACATCCAGTCATCTCAGCCACAAATAGACTGGACCACAATTATTCACATTTTAACTTTCTGCCATTCCTCATAAGATTATACTAAATATGCAGTGTCCTATCATTTGGACATTACAGAACCGCCACAGGCCTTAGTGAGATCACACTGTTAACAGGAGAATGAAGTTTAGAATCATACTTATTTCATTATGATACAGGAGCCAGCAGGGATGCATGGCAGCTTACAGCAACCCCAGTCAGTCAGTGCTGGTGGAACTACTGATGATAATGATACAATCATCTTCCAGTCATGCAATGCCAGTACTTTTATCAAGGCACCAAAAATGCACGTTAGCAGACAAGCATGCCTGACGGTCTTTGCAAAGTGCCCTGGAATGGTATTTACCTTGTCGTGCTGCTGCTCCTCAATCTGCTTCTGGGTATTTTCCAGTTCTTGTAACAACGTGTTCTTGAAAAGAAAAGACAAGTAATTACAAAGGTGGTGGTGGGGAGACCGTGTAGTTCAAGCTGAGAAAAAACCTTGGAGAGGCCACACAGAAAGGCTACATATCAGAAAAGGCAGGAGATATTCCTAGAAGGTCTTGGCATGACTGGCACAGGCAACATTCATCACATTTGTAGTTGGCCACCAGATGCCTTTGGGGACAGTGTGAGCAATTAACTCATAACATGTCTAACCATCAGACAACTAATCTCAAGCACTGCAAGCAAAGCCGTTATTCACATAACCATCCTCCATCGAATGGTAAAGTTCTGTGCAAAGAACAACAGTGGAAGTTAGTGACAAAGACACCTTCACAGTAGTGCCCGTTCTAGAATAGTTATTATGGTCTCATGTAATGATGCCAGAAAAAGTTATATAAGCCTAGGGACTATTTGGGGAGAAACTGGTTTATAATTGGGAATAACATTGTTTTTATTTAAAGGTTTTGTGAACTGCTCTGAGCATGACAAAGAGAGCAGGACAAAAATTATAAAGAAATTATTGATACAGTGTATGTGAAACACTTGGAGTCCTTAAGACAAACATTTTAATTAGCATTATTAAAGGCAGATGGTAAGGCAAAAGCTGCAAAAGTCACTAAAACTTGCCATTGTCAGAGCTGAGCAGTTCTTTCTGCCAGAATTCTAAACTGGACAGCACTAGAGGAGAATTGTTTCCCAGACAGGCAACAATTAGAA